TGGAAGCTGGAAATCTCTGTAGTAGGCACCAATACTACAGTGATCCCCTCTAGTTTCAATGTCTGTACAGAGCAACTGCCCTTCTGTACTGGGAACACAGAAGGTCACTAGCTCGGCACGGGCGCCATTAAGGAAACACTTTTCATTTTCTCAAGGTGGAAAGGCAGGGTGGTGATGTCAAGATCTCCACCTCATCCAATCTGAGGACACTTTTCATTCATTGAGAAAATGCAAAGTGTTCTCTGAATGGCGCACACACCAAGCGAGAAAACTCCTGTGTTCAGTAAGCAGCAGAGCAGTCGTTCAGTATGGGACTCAGGAACTAATTTAGATAGTAGTTAAAGTACCCACTACAATGATTTCCAGTTTCAACGAGAATCCCACAAGTATCGGACATACTTACTGTACTTACATTGGTCCAAGCTAGACCATCTCCCCCCCCCAATCTCATTATGTATAAATGGCCATACCTAAACTTCAGCTTTAAGTGAACCTTTTGCTTTGTCCTGTATAGACATAACACAGAGCCCCTTAAAACCATAAAGATTTCATACAGTACATCTGTATGAAAAATATTAATAAGCATTTTCTCTCACATTCATTCATAGAAATTCACCGCATTGTGGCAAAATTATATATATATATATATATATATATATATATATATACTGAACAGTGATCATAGTTCTGTATTTCTAGTATTACATTTTACCAAAGAAGCAACCACTGGAATTAAATGACTAAAACATGGCAACGTTGGGGGTTGGTTGGACTTTGATATATGATCAAACACAGTAAAACAGTAGACTGCAATAGAAGCAGGTGAATGATTAAGGGAGGGGAACTTTACTATGAAAGCACCATTGTACAAGAATCCTTTCAGCCAAAGTAAAATTAGGGGAACCTTAACACACCCATCTATGCATCACCTGTTTCATATCCAAATAACTCAAAGAGACAGTCACAAAAAGAATGGTTGTCTGCTAATGATATTTCCATTGATAAGCAGTGTGCACTGTAACTAAGGACTGCCAACTTTTGTTATAGGAATATAATTAATTTTTGGCAAGCCAGGTTGTATTCTACTAATGAAAAGCTTCCGTGTTTCTCAATGCTGGAGTATTATACAATACTTATTCAATACTTTTCCTATTCAGTCAGTGAAACCACTTTCTAATAATAAGTAATTACAGTATGTGTTTGTTGATATGTTAGGCGTTGCTTTAGTGGTTGCTAGGAGCATGCAAGAGGTTTTGGCATCAAGTACCAAAAGCAAATCATTATATAAAGATTAAGACAAAGTTTAGCTCACCAAGGCTCAGTTTTAAGCCAATGAAAAGAATTCCTTATACTTCATCTGTCTATTTTAGTCTTTGGATGTTGAGTTTTTGTATTGATTTTTAGGAACATCTAACTCAATTAAGTGTTCGCTAATACCCAAGATTCTTCATTATTTGACACATAATAAGACTGGTCATCGACCTTTACTGCATGGTCAGACATGTATGCTTATGATGTCTTCTTGGCTAATTTCTTTATTAAATAGGAGGCCTTTGGCTGCAAAAATTGTTATTATTATTATATAGGATTTCTATAGACAATACAGCAACAATACAGTTCAATACAAGAGGGTTAGGAGAGCCCTGTTCCTTGGAACTTACACTCTAATCGGGAGGGGCTGGTGGTGCAAAAGGTAATAACTGTGGGGGATGAACTGATAGGAGAAAAAGAAGATTCGCTTATTAGCTGAAGGCTTTTCAGAGATAGGTTTTCAGAGATCACCAAAAAGTGGGCAGAGTAGGCCATAGTCGGATACATTGGGGTAGAGAGTTCCAGAGGTTGGGGCAGGCTCTGGAGAAATCCTGAAGATGAGCATGGGAGGAGAAGACAAGAGCTAGAGAGCAGCCATGGGAGGAATGGAGAGGACAGTTTGCGTGATATTTGGAAACAAGTTTGGTGATGTAATTTGGGGTAGAGTTATAAATGTATTTATATATTATTGTTAATGTTTTGAATTTTAATCATTGGGCAATGGGAAGCCAGTGGATAGATTGGCAGAGAGGGATGGCTGATACAGAACGGTTAGTAGTGTGAATGAGTCTGGCAGCAGCATTCATGATAGACTGAAGAGGGGATAGCCTGCAATTAGGTAGGCCAATGAGGAGGGAGTTACAATAATCAAGGCGAGAGTTAACAAGGTAGCGAATAAGTTGCTTAGTGGCTTCGGTGGTTAAAAACGGGCGTATCTTGGAGATGTTATGGAGGTGAAGTCTACAAAATTTGGACAATGATTGGATTTGGGGCTGAAAGGACAGATGGGAGTCCAGGATCACACCTAGTACCTAGTCAAAATATGGAGGAAGATAATGATCTACCCATGGCCTCCAGATTTTAGTGTATTGAGTCACTTTATCACCCAGAACAGCCTCAGATTTGGCATGGATCACAGCTAGCGCCACTTTATTTTTTACCTCAATGAGTGGGGAGATTTCCAGAAGCAGGCTATAACTTGTTTAGCAGCTGTTATTACTTGAAGTGACAAATTTTTGGTGAGACAATAAGACTTTTTGGGCATGAGGGCCACTAATGGGTCAGGAATGACAGTCTGCCTGAACATAATGGAGATAATCCAAAAAAGTATTACACAGAATATACTGACCATGAGGTAGGACCACCAAATATGAAGGTGGCTCTCCGGGTTTCCACAACCACAGAAACAGGTTGATGGATAAGACATTCTTGCTGGTACAAAGTACAAGCTCATCATACCTTTGTAATTTACTTCCAGGGCTCTAAGATTTTGTGATGTGGATTTAGTATCAGTCCATATAGCCATCTTGTAATAATTGGACTCCAAAATCTGTTTCCCATTTTGCACGTATAGATTGGAGAATTACAACCATGTTTTGCTAACAACTGTAGGTACAGCGAGGAAATAAGCTTTCAAGCATGTGGTTTTTTTTTTTTTAAAGAAAACGTTCAAATGGGTCATAGAGGTAAGGGGGTGTCCAATTGGAAAGAACAGACCATAAAAATGTTTGAGTTGTAAATAATGAAACATTTCCGAATTTGGAAGACCGTGGAATTCTTAAAGGGTAGAGAAGGATTTAAATGTTGTGCAAGTTCCCATATGGGGTGGTGGGTAGTTCTATTCCTCTAGTTTAATTGAACCCAGGGGCGGACTGACAACTCATGGGGCCCCCGGGCAATAGGGGATCATGGTGCCCCTGTGTCCTTGCCCAAACTCAAAAAAGCCTATGAAAAAGGTACCAGGGGCATCTCATGGGGCCCCCTACTAACCCCAGGCCCTCGGGCAGTGCCCGAGTTTCCAAATGGTCAGTCCGCCCCTGATTGAACCTATATCATTATGATCTCATGATGATATTGTTCTTTAATAATGGAAAGTGTGCCTGAAAATGATTTTCTTAGCTGATTCCTGACTAATAGTGACAGGGCTTTTTTTCAGCGAGAACATGGGGGAATGGAGTTCTAGCACCTTTTGCACTGAATGTATGTAATGGCAAGAGGTACTGGGGTGTGCTGGAGAGTCTGTTGATGCTGTCTGCTGGGGGATCTATTGTTGCAGGGGTGATATATTATTTCAGGGGCATCTTATGTTACTGGAAGGATCGACTGTTGAGAGAGCAGTCTATTTTTTCTAGCTGCTCAGGGTCTTTTGATGTTGGATGCTAGGAGATCTATTGTTGCTGGTAGGGGTCTATTGTTGCTGAGGTGGATTTATTGTTACTGAGTGGGGTCTATTATTGCATGGAGATCTGTTGTTGCTGCGGTAATATATTGTTGCTGGTGAGGGGGGTCTACTGTTGCTGACTGCAGGGTATCTATTTTACAACTTTTCCTATTATCTCTAACATTTAATTCCATAAAATTTACATAGCACCACATGTGCTGTATTCTCTAAAAGAGGCTTTACTGGGTGGTGTGTAGGGGGTGGAACCAAGGGATGGTGCTCAGAGGTGATTAGGGGCAGAGACAAGGAGGGACTCAAAAGGGGGGAGTACCTGTACCTATTCTCTGAGAAATAGTGGTTATTGCCATTTATCCTATATAAAGATACAATGTACCTGTATGTTTCTTTGTTGGTTTATTAATAAAAATTGTAGTTAAATAAGTTGTGCAAGTTGTAAAATGACCACTGAAGGGAATGCATTAAGGCAGAGGTCTCCAAACTGTGGCCCAAGGGCCGGATGCAGCCCATTGCTAGCCAATATTTGGACCTTGGGGCACTATACCTTTAACTGATACAAGACATGATTCCTCCCATTGACACCAATAATGAGGCACTATTCCTCCCACTGATACCAATGATGGGGTACTATTCCTCCCACTGATACCAATGATGGGGTACTATTCTTACCACTGATACCAATAATGATGTACTATTCCTCCCACTGATACCAATGATGGGCACTATTCCTTCCTTTAATATCAATGATGGGGCACTATTCCTTCCTTTAATATCAATGATGGGGCACTATACCTTCAACTAATACCAATGATGGGGCACTACTTGTCCTTCTACTGACCACCAACCCTGAGGTGATGTTTATTCTCACTGATGCTGGGTCCAGGAATTTTTCAACCCTCAATGGCCGGAATCCGCCCCCCCTAAAGTCTGAAGTACAGTAAACTGGCCTTTTGATTGAGAAGTTTGGAGACCCCTGCATTAAGGTACAAAATGTCTGGACTTTAGAACCATTTTACAGTTGTTTGAATCTTATAAAATGAATTGCTATATGGAACATCTAATACAACACATACTAAATAAACATAAACAATAAATTATATCTTTGCATATAATTAAAATGAAACTGGGAATTCTTTTTATATTTCTTTATTGCTGATATGAAAAGAAACTAACGTTTTTTTTTCTTGTTTCCTCTGGAAAATTTAATTTTTGTCATTTTTACAGTTTAGGAAAGAGTCAAATAATTTAGCAAAATTCAATTTTTAAATTTAAAATTTGTGTTTTTTTGCAGATTCTTAATGCCACAATGGACAATTGCAGAGTCCTGCTGCAGATTGACAATGCTAAATTAGCTGCAGATGACTTCAGACTCAAGTAAGCAAACCCATATACATATTATTATGCCTGAGAACCAGGCTGGAGTACCATTATCGGCACATACGCTTTGGATCTTTTAAAATGTCTCTTTGCTATTAATATGTTTTTGCAAAGAACATATTTTTATTGTCTTTTTACTTGGCTTACAATATGTTGACAATTTGCAAATAAGCCTATACAGGGGACCTGTATTTCTACTGATTTTAAAAAAAAAAAACTAAAAAGGGGCTACTAACCCCTTAAGGAAAAGCTAGCTTTTTTCCTAGTGTGCCTAATGGTAAATCTAACCTTGATGACAATATATGATACTGTAAAAGGTTATCGTAAGTATTGTTTCTTGCGTATTAAAGTAGAACTCTCAAGGAGAGAACAGTAGAAGGGACTTATTTTAAGTGAAGAATACATATTTAGATTTTTTTATTTAACAAACGTTTAGCATGACTTTAACTTGCATTGCAGGACTTGTCACAAGTAAAAAGTCCAGCTGGACCCTGCCCTATGAAGCATACAGTCTAATCTTCACACATAAAATAGAACACCTGCAAAGTACATTCAGGTGATGGTGTGGTTTGTTTGCCAGGAACTCTATAATGGCCAATAAAGGTAGTGGTCACCTCCCATAGAGCTAGCTATTCTGTACAAATGTTTTATCATCTATTAAAGACACGCACCAGTTTTTCCTTATCACAATGCCAAAAGATCAGGAGCCCTTTTTCACTGGCCTCAGGCTTCAGAACCCATTTAAAGTTCCAGCTGTGGCTAGTATAAAGGGGTTAGTTTACCTGGGATTCCATTCAAATAGCTGGTCTCGACTAGAATTTAAGGGCTTTTGAACAAAATAAGTTGATTCAGGGATGGCAAGAAATTATATTCTGACTAGTGATTTACAAACATTCAAATGAAAATCTAATCTTGTATGGCCAGTTTTATCAGTAGAAGTGTTCCCATTAGAAAAAAATGCTCTTTATTTTTGTTTTGGTGACAATCCCAATTTTTGGATCTTCCCCTTACTTTTTTATGGTCACCAGGACAAACTGAGAAAGTGAATCTTTGGAACAGGGGCATAGGCAGGAATAAAAACCTGATATTTATTATTTATTTCAGGTACTTATAAAGTGCCATCCATTTACGCAGCGCTTTACGTACATTCACATCAGTTAGCGTATGTACTCTCCAGCGCCTCAGGATATGCACAGCCAAAAGGGAAGCCAAGGGTACCAGGACAGCGACAACCAAAAGGAAATGTTCCAGGGGTGCAGCCCTCCTCAGACGGGGAAATCAGCCACTGGATAGAGAGAAAACAGGTGGCGCACACACCTAGTGCATTATCCAAGGTTTATTGTAGGAATTAAATCATAAAAACATACTCACAGACGAAGCATGTATCTAAAAAGCATAGAAAAATGACAATGGCCACAACGGCGGGCAAAGTGTTCTCACTGTCAGTGCGGTCAAATGGCTGAAGCGTTTCGGGGACCATTTCCCATTTCCCCACAGGTATAAAAGCACACTCCCACACCATCTCACTCAGGCATCAACAGCAGGGCTCTTACTTTACTTTCCATTCATCGTGCATCAGCATCAGAGGTTGGTCATCAGCTCTGAGGAAAGGGATTCGTCCCCGAAACGCGTCAGCCATTTGACCGCACTGACAGTGAGAACACCTTGCCCGCCGTTGTGGCCATTGTCATTTTTCTATGCTTTTTAGATACATGCTTCGTCTGTGAGTATGTTTTTATGATTTAATTCCTACAATAAACCTTGGATAATGCACTAGGTGTGTGCGCCACCTGTTTTCTCTCTCTATACATTCACATCAGTCCCTAACCTTCAAGGGGTGTACAATCTAAGGTCCCTAACTCACATTCATACATACAGATACTAGGGCCAATTTAGACAGGATCCAATTAACCTACCAGCATGTCTTTAGCGTGTGGAAGGAAACTGGAGTACCCGGAGGAAACCCACACAAGCACAGGGAGAACATGCAAACTCCATGCAGGAGGCACCATGGTCAGGAATGAAACCCATGACCCATTTACTGCAAGGCAGACGTGCTAACCACTAAGCCACTGTGCCACCCATATTGGTGTAATCCACTTGCTATTTCATTAAAAATGAAAACGTACAAAAAAAAGATTTGGATTCATAGACACTTTGGGGTTTATTTACTAAGATTGGAGAGTACACAATTTGGTGCAGCTCTACATAGAAACCAGTCGGCTTCCAGGTTTTATTGCCAAAGCATAATTTGAAGAAGCTGAAGTTAGAAACTGATTGGCTACCATGCACAGCTGCACCAGATTTTGCACTCTCCAGTTTTAGAAAATCAATCCCTTTAGGTGTTTTGGGGGAAGTTCTGATTTCTGTTAGCTTATGTTTTACAGGTTTGAAACTGAACAAGTTTTGAGGTTTGGTGTAGAAAAAGACATTGCCGGTCTTCGGAAAGTGATTGATGATCTTAGCCTGACTCGAGCTGAACTTGAGCTGCAGATTGAGACTTTGCAAGAGGAAATGGTCTACCTGAAGAAGAACCATGAAGAGGTCAGCGTCATTTTCACATTTCTTTACAATTTTGGTGGGACATCTCCACTTTTCACCCTCAAGGAAAGAGACTTTAGAGAACAGTGGGGTGAATTAGAAATGAGCCAAGGTGATATGACTTAAGTTTAGTGATCTTCTAATTATGTGTGGGCAAGTAATGTATTATCATGGAAACAATGTGTACAGTAAACATATATCTACAACAAATAGTTAGCTGAACTCCTGACTTACCTCCAGTCTTGTACAGTTGTACAGGCTCCTCACCTTTACTGAAATTGCTTACTTAATTTTACTGCACACTGTTTGCTTTTTACAGTATACAGTAAAAGCTGCAGAAAGTCATATAGAGAATGTCTCATTTTCTGTCTGGAGGACTTCCAGCATCATCTAGTTATTTCCTCCCCAGTCGTACTGTCCCTGACCTGTCCCTTTTATTTGCTGGATTTCAGTTACTTCAGTCATGGAGTTTTAGCATCACATGTGGGCATTACCAAGCTGTGTGCATATGCAGCCTGCTTAGGAATGCTCGTTCCTTTGGACAGGCATCCACCCATCAAGACATATTTGTATACAGTAACTCCAGCCAAGAGCCAGCCCACTGCTTTCATCAGGGCTGAGGGTTCTTGAGAAGAGTACTGAGGCAGGGCATAAGTGGAACATAAGCTTTTAACATAGAATATAACTGTAGCTGTGACAACTCATGGGGCCCCCGGGCAATAGGGGATCATGGGGCTCCTGTGTTCTTGCCCAAACTCAAAAAAGCCTATGAAAAAGGTACCAGGGGCATCTCATGGGGCCCCCTACTGACCCCGGGCCTCAGGCAGTGCCCGAGTTTCCAAATGGTCAGTCCGCCCTGACTGTAGCTAAAATTTTAGTTAGAGTAGGGATTGGCTAAAACCCCTATATCTTTTTTCCTGCTTTCTTTGTCTAGTTGGGAAGATTTACCCTCACTTCGAGTCACAGAAGCACCACAGGAAGTGAGTGGAAATCTCTGTAAACTATGGGGGAATTCCCTTGTAGACAATTTTTTTTTTCTGAACATTATGTCGCCACTGGAAGACTCTCTCTCATGGCATGTTTTGATTAAAGCCTTAAAAGTATGGACTTCCCATCCCTTTCTGTTCTGGTGATAAAGGTCACCACCAGGAAAAATAGTGAGGCTGGATCTCTCCAGTGGAGACGCAGACAGCACAAATAAAGTTTGTGCTAGAGATATAGTTTTAATACGGCCAGTTCTACATAATTACTTCCCAAAATTTAGCAGATTTTTTGGACTATATGGGACATTTTATTGGGGTTAGACAATACAAACTGGCTGGATGAAAAGCAAGACTTATCAAGACTTAACTTCTACTAATGACTCCAAGGATAGAAAAGGTGGATCTAGCTGTACATTTTTAAACAAACCATTTGCAAAAAAACTCAGGAAAGTAAATAGTTTTTAGTTTCAGAGGTGTAAGATTTACCAGCTTTCTTCTTGGGTTAGCAACATAGTACTTAAAACTGAATTTCAGGTATGGTAATTTTTAGATAGCTGCATTGGTTCAGATTGACCCAATGTAAGCTCGAAAAGAGCAGGGCCCTCGATCCCCTCATGTTTTGCATTGTATTGGTATGTATGTGCCATACTGTATAATAATAATAATACCTGACCGATCCCATTGGAACATGGAAATATTGTAGAAGCCACCGCTACTACAAGGATCTCCACTAGCTTCTGGGTCTTGTGCCTTGCTGCTTAGTTAACACAGAAAGTTGTTTGGTCAACATGGGCACCATTCAGAGAACATGATACATTTTCTCAATTAATATAAACTGTTCTCTGATTGGATAAGGTGGAGATCATGATGTCACCACCTAACCTTATCCAATCAGAGAACACAGTTTGACCATTGAAAAAATGCAAAGTGTTTCCTGAATGCTATCCATGCCGGACAAGCAGCCTCCTCTGTTCAGAATGCAATAGGTCAGCTGCTCAGCACAGGCCCCAGAAGCTAGTGGGGATCACTGTAGTAACAATGTCTAGTACAATGATTTCCAGCTTCCACAGGGATTCCATAGGCATGGCAAATACATACTTACATTGGTCAATGTTGAACCAATGTAACATCTGTAAAATTTGCCATACCGGGATATCAGATTTAAAGCCCATATTTCTTTTTTTCACCTGAACTACAAAAATGGCAAAATGAACATCACATCTATCCTACAAACTTGCCCTGAATGGAAACTGCTACCATGATAGAGATTTTATAAATCAAAGTCCTCTATTTTTTTTTTGCATACAGGACGTACAAGTTCTCCGCAGCCAAGTTGGTGGAACAGTCAATGTGGAGGTGGATGCAGCACCTTCTGTAGATCTGTCCAAGGTATTGAATGAAATGAGACTCCAGTGCGAGACAGTGTGTGACAAAATACGCCAAGATGCAAAGGATCAGTTTGAAACCAAGGTATGTATCCCTATCACTGGACTTTATTTACAGTGGTAAGGGTCTAGGATATTTGCCCTCCTATCCCTCTTGTATTGAACTGTATTGAACCCCTTTGGGGGTCGAACGACCCTCACAGGGGTCGCCTAACACCATCGGAAAACACATATTGTTAAAGAGCAGCTACTGAAAGCAGCTACTCTGTTTGCTGAAAGCAGCAGTATTGGAGGTAAAACGACACGTTATCATGAATTATAATTGAGTAAAAATTTTATGGTTGGGGGTGCTAAATATAAATCCTGTATTGTCTCCCGTTATATAAAGCATAATATAAATTAATAATAATAATATTCACTTCAGAATAATAGTCTTTTATACAAATGTTTTTTTTGGGGGGTGAATCACAACTTTTACCAAATAAATAGCTACTCCATGACCCACAATATCAGAGCACCGTGGCTTTTAGAGACTTTTTCCTTTGACACTCAGCAGAAAAAATTATTGCGCTGCCTTATTTATTAATGTGTGTACATTTATCCTTGAGCTATTGGGATCTGTAAACAACAGGATTTCATCAATAAAGTTGCTAAGGAGAGTCTGGGAAACGTGATAAAAAGCTGAAAACTCAATTTTCTGGCTGAATATAAAAGTACTAAATATTCAGGTGTAAAATGTAATATTTGCATGACTATATAAAAGTATTATTTTTTTTGTCTAACCATAATGAATAAAATATACACAACACCACTTTATGTTACCTTTAATACAGTTAAAGTATATGTAAACCCTAACAATGAACCAATTTTATTTGCTCCTTTTTGGCCTGTTTAATTATCCATTGAAAGTTTTTGTTATATCTGTTTAATCCCTTTGGGCCGGCGCCTCCCGGCCCTTTAAGGGTTTCAGAAGCCGGGAGGCGGGGCAGGGTTTAGGGTCATGTGACTGCCGTGACACGCTGTCACGGAGGTCACATGATCGGGAAAGGTCCCAAACGAAAGAGGAGATCGGGACCTTTCTGTGAGTACTGGACATGTGTTCTGGGAGCGCGCAGGGCGCGCACTCTCAGCACATATGTCTTTTTTTTTATAGAACGCAAATGTGCGGCAGCTGGGCGTCTAGGCCCAGATGCCGGGAGGCTGCACATTTGCGTTCGGCCGGTGTGAAGAGGTTAATAAATATAATGAAATACCTGTAGATTCTGCCAGAAATCTATGGGTATCTGTGGCTTCTGCCTCTACTGACTCTTATCAGTAAGCATTTTTTTCCCAGTGCTCTCTCTCTCTCTGAACTATAAAACACCCCCATATTATGAAGAAGAGGAGAGGGGAAAGTTTTCTGTAGTCCTGCTCTAGGGTGACAACACTGCTTCTCCTATATACAGTACAGCGAGGGAGCATTGTCACCACAAGACAGGAAGAGTGTTACTGGCAGTATCAGCAGATTCAACTAAAGGAAAAAAATGAAAAAAAAAGAAATATAAGGACTGGTAAACTGCAATATATTACATGCTTGTTCTTAAATACGCATTTAAATACCTATAAAATCCTGTTTATATACCTGATGTCCAGCTGAAACCTGTTCTGGTTAACAGCTCATCGCCTCATTATACAGCCTCATATAACCTCATTTCTAGATGCTCTGTTAAACACAGCTGATCTCATGTGATATGGCAGGTCTTCACATCCAGATTAAATACAGCTAATCAGCATTGTAAAAAAATAGATTTTCTGATGCAGAGCTCGGAACGGAACGCAGAAAAAGAGATCCATGTTATTAATCAGCTTGATACAGGACGCAATTTTACAAAATATCCTCTTACCTATCTTATGCGGAATTTTTTTTTGCTGCTTTCTAGATAGAAGTGGTAAACAGGGAGATTGTAACCCATACAAGTGAATTGGAAGAATCCAAGACGCGTATCACAGAGTTTCATCGCAGCGTACAAGGCCTGGAGATAGAGCTGCAAGCAGAACAGAGCAAGGTAAGGTTGTCAGCCTCATTGCTACCATTTCTGGAAAAAATATTACACGGGGAAATGTTTTTATTGACGATTTGTGTGATTGAAACTTTTGTGAAAAATGACATCAAAATTGCCCAAATAAAGACAAATAAATTGCAACTGAACCTTCTGTTATGCCTTATGACTCCTTGAGGGTCTTGAAAGATTGGAGGAGCCATTGGGAGAGTGGAGAAGTTTTGTAAAGGTGCCTTACCATTGTAATTTGATTAACGGTGGGCTGTATGGAAGCTGATCCTGTGTCCATCCAGAGAGTGAAAATCATCCCACCTGGGACTAACTCGTGATCTGTTATGCCTTATGACTCCTTGAAGGTCAAAGATTGGAGGAGCCACGCTTGGGGAGAGTGATGGAGCACGTATTTATTTTCACGGTTGAAGATTGATTCATCACAGTTAAAGGATCTATGAATATTGCCGTTTATGATCACATGTATGTATATTTGGTTAATATTTGATTCACCTACCGTCACATTCTTGGGCTGTGTGGGGCTACATATTAGGTGCACCACTGTACATCTATATATTTATTCATATAATTTATGTATTCACCCATTTAATATTGAGTTCTTTCTATTTATTATGTTTATTATCACATGGTATTAGCACTACACAAACTTATTTACTTATGTTTCATAAAATGTTATTCACTTTCAGCAAAGCCTAGTAGTACTGGCATGATTTTCAATACTCCAGAGAATATAACACATATGTCCTCCATGACCTATGCTGTTCTGAGAGGCTCTGTGGGCCCAGTGGGGCCGTGGTGTACAACATGGGCTGACTAACCAAACACATATTAATTACACAGGTTCTGTGGCTGATAATGTGATATTCAAACTCAGTGCTGCATCTGCATTAAATTAGCCACAGAACCTATGTAATTATGTGTATGGTTTAAAGGGATGAAATGCAACCTTAGGGCTGACCCGAGGAGAGCCAGTTCCTTGAGTTCCAGCTGCACCTATCCTTTTGCCATCCACTCTACCCTTTAACCCACCCCCCACTCCCCTCTTTTTTCACCCCTCTTTTTTCTCCCCTCTTTTTTCTCCCCTTTTGCCCTTCCTTTTTTACTTCTCTTATTGCAAGTGATTGCTTACCTCTACTAGCACCCATCAGGTGTGGCAGCTTATTTCTGGTTCCTATGCCTGATACCTACTTGAGTATACATTTTCATTGGCTCCCATAGGAGCAATTTTGATAAGAACATGTTACTGTCTTTATTGGAATTTGACCTTTGCTTTCCCCATTTTAAACTGTGTTGGAAAATAAACACATAATCAAGGCCTAGTCCAGGAGGTTATATGACTCCATTATTTCTAGGTTGACAGAGAATGTGAATAGGGTACCTACTATATGTGATGAAGTTGACTTACTCCCATAGGAGGATCTCTGCCGGTGGATAGACTATTATTTATGCCACCCCTCATTTCTTGACATATTGGCATAACTCCCACACACTGCTATGTGTGAAGTAATTCTATTTGTACCTCATTGTAATATCCATGATGTATGCTTTACTATATATGGACTTGCTGTAGAACACAATATTCATAAAAAAAAATTTATTCACTAAGATTTGGTTAAAAAAAAAAAAAAAAAAGCAAATAATCCCCCGTATTTGATATTGCATGTGGTCTTAAAAACAGTGTGTGACTTAGACACTGCACTGTATAATTGAGCTGAAAGACCATTTGAGTTGGTTATGAATTCGGTCCTCACCTTACTTAACACCCACCACCCCTTTTCCTAACACAAAGAATACAAAGTCCAACCTGGGGAAATGTATAGTACTAAAAATACATAACACCTTTTGTATTTTATGTTATTTTAGTATTTATTTATTAGTCCTATCTCTGGTCTTCAACACCTTTCCCCAGGTACTGATCTCAGTAACCTTTGTAAGCTGTCCGCATTAGACTATTCATTCGGCTCAAAGCAAACCTGTGCTTTTTCCATTGAAGGTAAAAACAACAAGTTGATTGATTTCCTCTGTCCTGGCAGCACACAGCTTTCCTATTCACCCCGCTTTTCTGAGTTGTTTTAGTCGGAGCTTACAGAGGGCTGTGGGCTCTCTTTTTACTCCCTTGTGATAGCACTGGTCCAAATGCGATGCACCAGAGCTAATGCCTATCCCTCTATACCTAGAAGTATCAGGGTTTTTCTTTACTGAACAATATCTAATAAGGGCATGCGCTCAAAATATATATCACCATATAATTAAGTGTCCATATATAATCTGTGCAAGTCCAAAACAAAACTCAAAAAATTCTCTGTGAATTCATAACACTGTGAATAATCCGCCACCAAATGAATTAGATGGACTCACCAGAGCTATATGCTGATCAAATTGTAGACCAGCAATAGCGCTTGTGCTCTGGGAGCGATGGGTGAATGATATCCAGGATATTAGAAGTAGTAATTTTCAATAATAGTGACATCCAGGTGATCAATAATGGCAATCAGCATAAAGAACAGCATATCACTACCAGAAGCAATACTCTGCAGCCAAAGATCTCATGATGAATCTCTCCATTTAACTCCATATCTCCATATATGCATGAGTCACACTCAGGGACAAAAGAAAAAACATAATGGTGCAGTACGTTTAAAACACATATATATTTAATAAAAATGCCAAACAACTCACAAGAGAGGTGTCCAGACAGACACCAGCTTAACCAGCAATGCACAGCACTTAGTGGACGATCCCCGCTCACCGCGGATCACCTCCGACACACACTGGGAAAAGAGCGTCCTGACGTCAACATCAAGTAGGCCATGCCCAATGCGTTTCATCACCACGACGTCATCAAGGGGGTACCGCCCCTTGATGACATCGTGGTGACAAAACGCGTTGGGCGTTTGAAGTCAAAAATAGAGCAAAAGCTGTTGGACCTCTGGAAATGTCACCCAAACCACACTTCTTTCCCCAGTAGCCATCATTGACATCATATTCTGATATAGTAGGCTTCTTCTGCAGCTAGTAAAATCTGCAGTTCAAAGCCAAACCTCCTCTTCTCCAGAACATATGACTGCCAATCCAAGCTTCTGGTTGGTCTGCAATAATAGAGTGGCATTAAGCACATGTCCTGGAGAAAAAGAAGATTTGCTTCCACGTAAGCACTTGGGAAAGACATGTGGGTGGGCAGACAGATGGAAGAGTGAAAGAAAGTGAAGTCTGTTTTTCATGGGTAAAGCACAAGTTTCATCCAAATCATACTTTTTCCCCAGTAAGCATCACTAATATCATATTCTGATGTGGTGAGCTTCTCCCGTAGCTAAGTAAATCTGCAGTTCAAAGTCAAATACTCTTCTATCTAGGACATGTGACTGCACACATAAGCTTCTGTTTGGTCTGCACCATTAGACTGGCATTAGACTAGCATCAATTACATGTTCTGGAGATAAGGAAGTTTTATTACAAGCTACAGACTGCGGGTGGGACTTGTGTCCACCACATAAGCAACTATGGAAAGTGGGCAGACACATGGGGATATCTACCAGCCTTTAATGTGCTGGAAAAATATTTTTTAATGGTGCATCCTTCTTCACCCATTCTACCAGCCTGGTCCATAAAATATCAGCCTGATGGCAATGCTAGGTGGGGAAGACACTTAGTTTTAATCCCACCCATCTATAAGCAAATGTAACTTATTTCTTATCTGTCTATTCTTCTTACAGAGGGATGCTTTAAGTTCCATCTTAGATAATATAAACGCCCAATATGCTACACGTTTGGCCCAGATACAAGGATCTATTGGCAATATAGAAGCTCAACTAGTGCAGATACGATCAGACATGGGACGTCAGGTTCAAGAGTACGAGTTCCTTCTGAATGTCAAGATTCGGCTAGAAATGGAAATCGCAACTTACCGCCGCCTGCTGGAAGGGGAGGAGACAAGGTGAGATAGGAGTGGTTTTAATTTTAGTATAGACCAGAGACTTTATGTAGATACAGAGTTCATAGTAAAAAACAATGATCAGTATTCCATTTTAACACATAAGGTGGCCATCAAACATGGCCATATCATACAGTAAATGTTATATCTTTGGTTATTGCATACACCGCTGGTTGTTCTCAGTGTTGAGCTACCCCCCATAGGGGCCACTGGTAATAACTGTCCTTCCCTAAAAGCACATAAGCTCCCCAATACTGTAATCACCAGTCTATTTACACTGGCTCCAATAAAACAGTCTGGGGGATGTCTACTTAAGATGTATTACTTGAAGAAACTTTAACAGGAGAGGGGTTTAGGGTCACAGCATACTCCAAAATGATTATTAGCAATAATGGAGGACACACTTCTCAAAAATCTTCATACAGCAGCCTTTCCTACAGGTAACAGGGAATGGCCCATATATCAAGGACTCTATAAGAGCAACCCTATTCCATGTAGCAATCTCTGTAACTTCCCTTCGAGCAAAAGCAAGCCCAAAGTCCAAATCAAGGTCTTTACTCACAATGTCCTTGTAGCTCTCTGCCACCCATGCTCCACAAGGAGATCCTTAGTGAAGTTGTTAAAATGATCCTTCTCCAGATCTAGGACTTCAGAACAGTGCTCTCCAGCAAATATTCTTTTAACAGCTTTCCCCAGGCCCTCAGCCCAGCTCCTGCTGAGGCACAGACTTCAATCTCCTGTTTCGGAAACTCTTTTCTAGGAGCAGTAGCCCCCCACACTCCAGGAGACTGAAACTCTCCCTGAAGTGGAAACACACTCACCCAGAACTTCCCAAACATTTATCACCTTCCCAGCTACCTTCTAGATGCCTCCTTTTAGGGATTGGCTGGGGCATGATAAATATTCATACTGGTTATCTGCATCTCCCTGCCCTATATTCTGGAAGTTTCTTCAAAAGACAAGTGGAAGAAATCAAAGACCCAGCTCAGGATATGTTGAACAGGTGAAAAAAATCAATCACTGCTATACTCACCACAAAACTAAATTTATCTAGCAGCCTAACTAAGAGAGCGCTACAACAGGGGTTTGCAAATTCAATCGCTGTTTTAAGAATGGTCAGAAAACGTCTAGGAGCCTTTTTATAATGGATAGAGGATATTGCTATCTGTTACACTGCACTTCCCTATGCACACTGTAGCCAGGGGCGGACTGACCATTTGGAAACTCGGGCACTGCCTGAGGGCCCGGGGTCAGTAGGGGGCCCCATCAGATTCCCCTGGTACCTTTTTTCATAGGCTTTTTTTTGTTTGGGCAAGGACACAGGGTCCCCATGATCCCTTATTGCCCGGGGGCCCCTTGAGTTGTCAGTCTGCCCCTGACTGTAGCCCATTCTATTCATAAAAATCAAGCTGCAATGTGTAGCTAGCTGAGCCCTACAGAGTTCTTTCTGTCTACCACAACAGAGGGATGGGAGAAGAGCTGGTCATGTGACTTTGACAGTTCGCAAAACCATGATCTTCTACTATGGCTTTTTTTTGCAAACCTTTCTTTCATTACTGCTGACTTCAGAGTCTGGAATCCATAAAGGAAATGAGTGAAGATCTCAAAAAAAAAAAAGTAGATGAAGGGAAATCTCTAACAGCCTTAGACAACATTGAAAAATCTGACAGAGTTCTAATCTTTTCTTACTCTATCCAAAACAATTGAGTACTGTCCATGATCATTTTTTGCACAAACATCCAAATATTCAGGAAAAGCTTTCGGGGCGTACCACCTTCTTCAAGGTCAAAGCAGTAGTCACCTCAAGCCCTACTTTAACCAATACAAAAAAGTAAAGATATGGAGATTAGTCACTTGTGGTAGCCCTAAAAGACACTATACTATTATTCTCCACCTCCCACTCATGTTATGAAAAGGAGGAAAACGGGAGGCGTTCTGTAGTCCAGCAGTTGAGAACTGAGTAAGGCTGGCAACAATGCTTGAAATTTCAGTGCAGCGTTGTCAGCTCAAACATGAAGTTAGGTGCCCCCTTTTTGCCAGATCAACAGATATTTTTCTGCATTAGCAACAGGGAGAAGTATGCTGTTTTTTAGAGATGTACTGTATGTTTTTTTAATTTTCTTTTGGCCAGTAATACACTTTAACCTCAATGGTTTCAATGCCTTGGGATCACAAAGAACAAGTAGAGAGAGAGAGACTTCAGATAAAGCTTCATGCACACAGGAAGTTTTTACAGCTGCTCCTATGGCCATCAGGCTTCCAAACGCTCCTCCATGTTAGCCTATGTGTCCATGCACACATAGACTTTTAGCAGCCTTTAGTGGCAGGAGAGTTTAGAGACAGGAAAAAAACCTCACTGCCAGCGTGTCAGGGATCCCCGCGGCGCTGGTCCCTTGCGCAGGCGCAGTGCGCCGCCTGGTGCAGGGATGTGGGCACTAGGTCCAGGCCAACTGCGGCATCCGAGCTCGTGCATGTGCACTGGGAGCCGCGGGCGCGCGCCTGGCACCAATGACAGCGCAGGGCGCGATATTTAAACGGCCCTGAGCTGTCATTCAGTGCCTTCTGGTCTTTCCTGCTCCCTGAATCTGCAAACCTGTACCCTGTAAGTTGCTGACCCGGATTGTACCTGACCACTCTGTATTCTCCTACTCTGACCCTTGGCTTGCCTGACCTCTCTCCCAGATGCCCCCTATTGGATCTGATACTCTATTGCTGACCTGATGTGTGACCCGACTATTCTCTGCCCTCCGCTTTGTACCGCACTGTCCCCACGGCTATAGACCCGGCTTGTCTGACCTTACACTTGCTCAGCCATCCATTCATCTATCCCATCGGGGTCACCCGACCTCCTCATATCAGGCTTTCCCCTGTTGGAACCCCTAGCGAACACCCCTACCACTGACGGGTGTACTCAGTAGTCGCGACCTGGTCTCGGGATACTCCAAGTCCATCTCCACCATCAGGGGCCCTGGTGAACTAGTACTCTGGGGCTTAGATTCCACGCTCTGGGGACACCTGACCAGTGGAGTGCTAGTGGTGCCGTCAGGCGGTCCGTTACACAGCGCATTCAGGCAGAAAAAAGCTTGAAGCTTGTAAGCGCAATAAGCGTGCACTAGGCATCTTTAGCGAAGAATAAATTATTATACTGGCCAATGAAATGAAGTAACGCCCAAGAACTTGACACTTGTAAACATGCCTAAATGCTTTTCTGCTGCAAAAAACTCTGCTGCCGGGAGAAAAAGCTTAGTTAGTTAGTCTGGCCGAAAAAAGACATAATTCCATCCAGTTCAACCATTAAAATAAAAAGTTATAATCCTACACCCACAGTTGATCCAGAGGAAGGCAAAAAAAACCAGCAAAGCATGATCCACTTTGCTCCTGCAGGGGAAAAAATTTCTTCCTGATCACCCGAGAGGCAATTGGATATTCCCTGGATCAACTTTACCTATAAATGTTAGTATCCAGTTATATTCTGTGTATCTAGGAAAGAATCCAGGACTTTTTTAAAGCAATCCACTGAGCCGGCCAGAACCAACTCTTGCGGGAGTCTATTCCACATTTTCACAGCTCTTACTGTGAAGAAACCTTTCCGTATTTGAAGATTAAATTTCTTTTCCTCCAGACGTAAAGAGTGCCCCCTTGTCCTCTGTGATGACCTCAGGGTGAATAACTCTACACCGAGTTCACTATATGAACCACTGATGTATTTATACAAGCTTCTAGGAGAGTTTTAAAAACGTCCTGTGTGCATGAGGCCTAAAGGGAGCTTACTTCAATGAGACTTAAAAAGCTTCCCAAAAGAGCTTACAATCAAAGGCTTGTGTAAAACTGAGAAATATATGCTATTCAAAATATAATTCTCATATTTGATATTTTGTGCTGAAATATAGCATTTTACATATATAAAACCTATATAATGACATTTATTTATCAGAAATGCTTAAAATATATTATATTTTTGACAATTGACGTTTATAACATATTTTCTTCATATTTCAGTTTGTCACAGGAGGAAGAGGAAAAGCTAAGAGGTATGTAGTAAAAAAAAAAAGTCAGTTTTGCATTAGAGAATTTACAGATATGAGTAAACTGTTGGCGGTTGTTTTGGTCCCCTTTACTAGTTTACCAAACTAGTGGCTGAATTTACAGGGAAACAAATGTACACTATGTGAATCTTTTTTGTCTGTATATGAATCGTGGAGGAGACTGCTGATAGAGTATAAGAGGCGGGTGAGGTCCTGGTGAGCTACTAAAAATTGGTGTCCTGTTTTAAGCGAGCTGACCCTGTGGGGTCGTGACAAGGAGGTGAGGGGCCATCACGGCTAAAGTTTGGATTCACACAGTGTGGACACGTGTGACACATGCATGAACATTGAAATGCGTTTTTGTTGCATTTGGACACTTTAATTAAAAAAAAAAAAAAAAAAAAAAAAATGATTGCAGTGATTTGGTTTGTCACTAATTGCACTTTATTTTTATTCTTTTGTAATACACGGGTTGCACAGCATTTTTGTAAATGCACAATTTTTGCACATAAGTATAGTACCTTGTGGTAATATTTAGAGCACTTTGAATAGTTAGTTTGCACTTTATATATTTATATTTATTTAGTGTACTTAGGTATAGTGCTGCACTTTATATTTATAGTACAGGAGATGACCAGAGACTGTGGACATAGTACAGGAGATGACCAGTGACTGCGTACATAGTACAGGAGATGACCAGAGACTGCAGACATAGTACAGGAGATGACCAGAGACTGCAGATATACTACAGGAGATGACCAGAGACTGCAGACATAGTACAGTGGATGACCAGAGACTGCAGATATAGTACAGGAGATTACAGGAGAAGACCAGAGAATGCGGACATAGTACAGGAGATGACCAGAGACTGTGGACACAGTACAGGAGATGACCAGAGACTGCGGACATAGTACAGGAGATGACCAGAGACTGCAGACATAGTACATAGAAACCCGCTCCCACTTCCGCTGCGATCATCTAGGCGATTGGAAGTGGAAGTTGTCTGCCCTCTCTCCCCGTAGTCTTCTGGGACACGTGACAGGTCCCAGAAGACTACGGGACTATTCACAAAGCGAAGCGCTTCTCGCGCATGTGCAGTGAGCACCCGGCTGTGAAGCCTCAAGCTGTCACAGCCAGGTGCCCAACCTAAAGATGCTAGTGCCAGGGAGAGAAGACGGCCAGTGAAACCAATGGTGGAGAGGACACCGTTGGACTGAGGAACAGGTATAACCGAGGAGCAGGTTCTGCTGCACAGAAGAGCCGAGCAGCTGGCCCAGTATTCTAACACGGCAGTGGCAACGGGGGGAATACCGGGCCGGCCTCTCCATATTCGCTCCATAACACGCACAGACATTTCCCCCCATTTTTTTGGGGAAAAAAGTACGTCTTATGGAGTGAAAAATATGGTAGCTTTGAAAAAGTCAGAAAAATATACAAGATAATCCTACAATAGATGTCAGTAGGGTTCTGCTATATGTTGAGGTCCTCAAACTGCCCATTGAGTTATTATTATTATTATTATACAGTATTTATAAAGCGCCAACAGTTCGCTCAGCACTGTACATTACAATGGGAGACAATACATGCGACAGTACTATAACAACACATTGCAATACACGAGGGGATCGAGGGCCCTGCTCCTTGGAGCTTACAATCTAGGAGGGAGGGGATAGTGGTACAGGAGGAAAAGCTGTGGGGGATGGAGTGGTAGGAAGAGTGGAGGAGGTCAGCAATTAGCAGGGGGTGGGGTAGGCTTCCCTGAAGAGATTGGTTTTCAGGGTGCGCCTAAAGGAGAGGAGAGTAGGTGATAGTCTGATGGATTGGGGTAGGGAGTTCCAGAGGATGGGTGACGCCCTAGAGAAGTCCTGGAGGTGGGCAAGGGAGGAGGAGACCAGGAACTAGAGAGAAGGAGGTCTTGTGAGGAGCGGAGTGTGCGTGCTGGGTGGTACTTGGATATTAGGTCAGTGATGTAGTTTGGGGCAGTATGATGGACAGCTTTGTATGTCAGTGTTAGGATTTTGAATTTGATCCGTTGGGCAATTGGAAGCCAGTGGAGGGATTGGCAGAGGGGGGTGGTGGAAACGGAGCGGTTGGTAAGGTGGATAAGTCTGGCTGCAGAATTTATTATATTCCAGTTAACCTGAACTGAACTTTGCCCACTCATTCATCCAAGGCTATGGATTACACAGAGACTATCAATCTCTATCTGATAACAAAGTCATACTACGCCTAATTAAAAAAACTAATATTGGTCAAGGGATAAATCCCATGTCTAAACATTCTGAATATGCATGAAGAGTCATATTAGTCTTTGAAAGATAGCTGTGAGAAGAGAAGGAAGAAACCATTATTGTTCATTGATCGCACGCTCTGCCCTCAGGATATCCTTTATTCTTGTCTCTAGCTCTAAAACTAACATACTTAACCTGTTGCTCTCATTTTAGAGCTGATGAGAAGTCGCAAAATAAAGACTATCGTAGAAGAGGTGATTGATGGGAAGGTTGTGGCTACTGAAGTTAAAGAAATTGAAGAGAAGCTACCAAGCATAATGCAGCCACATGCAAAGTGATAATGTTGCATACAACTGTTTATATTACTGGATTGAACTCTAAGAACTAAAAGAACCAGTCTGTGAAAATGACTTGACATGCATTGAGAAATAAAAAGTCTTAAGATATGTTTATCTCCTTGCTTTTATTAACAATTAAATATAGCATTCTTCAATTATATGATAGGATATGTACTCTCTTAAACAAATCTGAAAAGCCACGTGGGTTCATCATCACAGTCAATAATTAATATGCTCATTGGTGGGTAAGACATTAGAATAAGTCAGTTTTTGTTTCTGGTCCCATAATAATTTTGATGAATAGGCGTGGGCTGTCATCTTTGAGTCTAACTATAAAAGAAGTGGATCACTTTATTCCTTGCCCAAGACATCAAAGAACTGGCAAATATGCAAGCACTCCCCAATTATGTCAAAATGTTTTTTGGCACATCCCTAAATAGGGACATTTAGGTCACACAAGTGCCTACACTTAGGTTCCAAAAAATCAGGGGGTGAACGTTGAATCAGACAAACTTCAGACAGACCCTAATGCTGTCTTATTTTCGATAGTGATCTTATAAAGTTTTTAAGTGCATGTGATTTAACCTCTGGGATCTGTCAGCCAAGACTTCTGGCAGTTGCCCCAAAAAAATGAGATTCAGCCATAAAATATGCAAATAAAATATAAATAGGCACTACATTTGCCCAAAACAATAAACTTCCTATAGTGCAATAAGTTCAAGATTAGTACCACCTGAGGGTTAACTCAATTTTGGTCCATGCAAAAAAAATTTAGCCTATAGCACCTAGCCTTCCCAGGCGGTCTTCCATCTGGGTTTGAACCAGGTCCAATCCTGCTTAGTTTTATGAGATCAGACAAGATTGCGTGCATTCAGTGTGATGTAGCCCCAGTTGCAAAGCGTGACCAAAAAGATATTGTAACTCCTCCGTACAGCAATTCAACCAATAGTGAACAGGTGAAGTAAATAATAAAAAAATATGAATATAATGGCAACTTTTATCTAAGTGTAGTACTTTAATAGGAATCAAAATCACATAGACAAAAATATTCCACTCATTTGTACAGGTGCTTGTTAACCAAGCATATATCTTTTAAAAAAGATGGCCGCTTTGCACTTCAAGCCTCGCTTTCACTTAGCTATACCTGGACCCGAGAGTGACGTAATGACGCTCCAACGTATGTTTTGCCCAAAAAAGGCATCTTCAGTGGAATATTTTTGTCTATGTGATTTTGATTCCTATTAACCACCTCCCGCCCGCCATATAGTAATATGACGGGCGCAAGGTGGTTCTCTCGTTCTGATAGGACGTCCTCCCCGATTCTCCTCCCATTCTCAACCGAGCATGCGCGGCTCAGGGAGCGTGCAGCGCGGTGATCGGCGGTGTGCTGTGTCCCTCGGACACAGCGGATCACCGATCATGGAAAGAGCCGAAGATGTCGGCTCGGCCATGTGATCAGCTGTGTCCAATCACAGCTGATCACATGTAAATAGGGAAATGGCGGTTATCTGCATTTCTCTCACCTCTCGAGCTGTCACACACTGACAGCTCGATGGGGGAGAGGAGAGCCAGTAATCGGCTTTCCGCGGAGGGGACATGTACACTGATCATCAGGGCACTAATGATCAGTGTGCCCTGATGATCAGTGTAGCCCCAGCAGTGCCACCTGTCAGTGTCCATCAGTGCCTTGTGTCAGTGCTCATCAGTGCCTCGTGCCAGTGCCCATCAGTGCCACATATCAGTGCCTACCAGTGCACATCAATGCAACATATCAGTGCCCATCTGAGCTGCCTTTCAGTGTCACCCATCAGTGCCAGTCAGCGCCACCTATCAATGCCAATCAGTGCCACCTATCAGTGCCGCCAATCAGTGCCACCTATCAGTGCCAGTCAGTGCCGCCTATCAGTGCGCATCAGTGCCACCCATCAGTGCCTGTCAGTGCCGCCTATCAGTGCCAGTCAGTGCCGCCTAACAGGGCCAGTCAGTGCCAGTCAGTACCGCCTATCAGTGCCATATATCAGTGCCATGTATCAGTGCTGCCTTTCAGTGCCCATCAGTGATGCCTGGCAATGCCCATCAGTGCCACCTACCAGTGCCTCCTCATCAGTGCCTTTCAGTGCCACCTATCAGTGTCCATCAGTGCAGCCTATCAGTGCCCATCACTGCAGCCTCATTACGCACATCAGTGAAGGAGAAAAATCACTTATTTACAACATTTTATAACAAAAACTAAGAAAAAAACTTTTTTTTTTCAAAATTTTCAGTGGTTTTTGGTTTGTTTAAGAAAAAAATAAAAAACCCAGAGGTGATTAAATACCACCATAATAAATCTCTATCTGGCACAAAAAAATTATAAAAATTTCATATTGGTACAGTGTTGCATGACCGTGCAATTGTCACTCAAAGTGCGATAGCACTGAAAGCTGGAAATTGGCCTGGACAGGAAGGGGGTAAAAGTGCCCTGTAGGCTTGTGGTTAAAGTACTACACTTAGATAAGCTATTCACTTGTCTGATTCATGCATTGGCCGGCTGCATTCCTGTTGGAGAAATATCTAAAACCAACCTAAAGTATATTACTGTAAAACTGTAAACAATTCCTAATATCTGGCTATAATCCATGGAGATTTAGATGGAGAAAAATGGAGAATGCATGAAAGGGTGGTTCCCTATATAACCAAAGGCACATTTGACCACCATAACTGGGGTCAAAGGATCTGGTGAGTGAGTCATCTACACTTCACAGCTATGAACATGCGGTGAAGATAAGATCAGTCACATTTATTTTTTATATATTTTTATATATTTATATATTTTTTTAGATTTTTTTTATTTTTTTTTTTATTTTGTTCACATTTTTTTATTTTTTTCGACCCTCTGTGGAATTTCCTATTACCCTATTTTGGGACAGTTACAAGAGTTGTCATTATATTCATTTGTTTTATTATTTACTTCACATGCTCACTATTGGTTGAATTGCTATATGGAGGGGTTACAATATCTTTTTGGTCTAAGCACACTAAGCCATTCACAGCCACATTACCCTGAATACACCCGATCTCAGAAGCCAAGCAGGGTTGTTCCTGGTTAGTACCTGATTGGGAGATCACCTGGGAATACCAGATGCTGTAGGCTAACATTTTTGGCATGACCAAAATTGAGTTAAACCTCAGGTGGTACTAATCTTGTACTTATTGCACTATATGAAGTTTATTGTTTGGGTAAATGTAGCGCCTATAAGTGTTAATCACACTTAATTAGGGACAGCTTCACTTAGAATAAAACAACACTGAGACAAGATTCGTCTAGGGTCACTACAGTAGGTCCAAGTTTTGGGGGCCTTACACTATATAGAGTGATTTAGTTATAGGGATTATTTGTATATACACATCCCTTCTATATTGTATTTTGATTTTGGTATATATATATATATATATATCTATAGCGCCTACCTATTCTATCTGTATTTCAGTCATAAAACAGCCAGACTGCATGACTTTAATGTCATATCTATAGGAACCCTTAGTCTACCCCTTGCTGTCTGATTTCTTCAGCAATGTAGATCATATGAGTAGTATAACTGCATAGCTTGTTTTATCACAAAGATATACATGCCCTTTCCATCCAACCATGACAAGGTAGAGATCCGGACCTCTTTGTTTAGGTGTCAACAAAAAACAGTGGGTCAATCAAGCCCTAATTGATATTTCAGACCTTTGTTAGTGCATTCCCTTTTTAAACCTCTTTGCGACTCCATTGGTGGGATTGCCTGTTTTAGTTCATGAACCTACTATTCCCCCTATCAAAGTTTTCCCACTACCATTGCAGCTGAAGTAGTATGACTTTTTCTGAAGTTTCCCTGATAATGACTGTGTCAGTTGCAGAATGAGAGCTACTTCAGCCAGGAAGTAGAATCAATAAGTAGGTTGGTAGTATCATCTGGTACATATTACATTTGAGCTTAAAGAGTAAAGTCAACCCCTCCACCACTTTATAAGGTCCTTAATACACTTCATTGCTCCCCCACAACTCTTTCCTTTTGGTCACCACTGTAAAATATCCAATGCTAATAGAAATGGTGGCGATATAGGTGACCTCCTCCTCCCATGATGTAGTAATTACACCTAGCAAATAACACTCTAACATGACAGAGAGTGTGACATAACTGCTCTCACATTAGCTGACATCAGGTATTTTGGTGGAGGCTGTGTTAGAGGAAGAGCAGTAAGGAACAATTGAAAAGATGACTATAAAGTGGCTGACATGATGGCTTTACATAGATACTTTCACTTTGGCCTTAATAGTCAGAAAGCCCACTCATGTTAATCAAAGGGTGGTGCTTGAAACCTGAGAATTATTTTCCTACATTTTCACCAGCATTAATTCAGGGTACAAAAACCCCGTTGTACAAAATTCTTGTATTGCCTTTTACCTGTCATTAACTCTTTGAGGGTGGCTCCAGTGTCCTGTTTCAGGGCTGTGGTTCAGAAAGTCTTGCCAGTCTTGTCAGCTAGCCAATCCCTGGTGAGTTCATCACTAGTGGGTTGGCCCAGTCTTTGACATAACAGCTGTGCCCTGTTTTATAATGATCTGTCTTTCCTGGGAAGTCCTCCCTTCTGGGGAGAGGATGGCTGATCGAGAAGGTTGTGTTTCTGATTAGAGGCCTCAGGGATGGAACCCAGATCTAAAGGTTAGGCCCCTCTGCAGGCCACATGTATCTAACTGTTTATGTTCTAGAATCATCACTGGAACTGAGAAAAGCTAGAACCTCTGGGTTTGTGGGGTTGTGTTCACCAAAGAAAAACTGTGTGATGATTTTGAATGCTGGGACCCACCTAGCAACTTCTAACCAGAAAAGTTGTTGGAGCCCAACCCATAACGTTTGGGATATTTTACCACCTCCTAGCAAGGTCAAGATTAAACAGTTCAACTGCGATCAAGCCTAGGCCTGCCGTTTGTTATCTACAAAAAGTGTATATGTAATATACAGAATCTTTGGGACAAGATTTTCCTGTGATGGCATCCTACTAATCTTCATAAGGGCCCTTCTGGGTGGAGGCACTGACGTTTCACAGACACAGAGACACTGCACTATACTCCCAGTTAGCAGATGTTCAGGGCCCTTGAAGAAAGTACAACAGTTCCCAACAGATGAATGTTAGTCTCTTACCAGAGCCAGGAATCCTTATATGTTTTCTGGATTGGTTCAAGAAATTGGATAGAAAACAGGGATGGGAATTGCTGTGATGTCTCTCTTTTAGACCTGCTGAGACAGTGCCTCCTTTCCTTCTTTACAAGCTGTGGGAGCACTCTTCACTACAGTTTGATCTCACCAGGCATCCAAATCACACCTCACATCCTACCAAGAAGAAAGTTCCTAATCTCTCAGCCAAGATTTACTTCTCTCAATTTTGGTCAGCTATACCAGGGTTCTCTTCAGCCAGCAGTAGCACCCAGTCCTTTCCTCATACACTTGCGTGCTTCAAAACAGTCCTGTACTCTTTCCTCACCAGCCTACAGGCCCACTTCTCCTTGCTCTGTTGAATCAACCAATCACTGTTCTCCAAGGTCAAATTAGACCCAACCAAGATGGCTGCCTCCTGCACTGGAATCACTCCATAGACATTTATTGCAAAAGGGTCTCCTTAAAGATGGCTGCTGTACCATCATTAATGAATTTTCAGTTTCACTCTGTCAATACTGCAGAAGAATAATACAGCAGAAACAAAGGAAGGTTCCCTAGCTGATGAAATACATCTTGCTCTTTCTCTGTGGGATAGGCAAACCCAGTTTAATACTTGCCTTTTTCAAAATCCCATGAGAGCTGGCCTGTTCTCCAGTACTGGGATGTGGGTGGCTTGTTCTCCAGCACTGCGATGTGGGTGGCTTGTTCTCCAGCACTAGGATGGGGTGGCTGTTCTCTAGCACTGGGATGTGGGTGGCTTGTTCTCCAGCACTAGGATGGGAGTGGCCTGTTCTCTAGCACTGGGATGTGGGTGGCTTGTTCTCCAGCACTAAGATGGGGGTGGCCTGTTCTCTAGCACTGGGATGTGGGTGGCTTGTTCTCCAGCACTAGGATGGGGTGGCCTGTTCTCTAGCACTGGGATGTGGGTGGCTTGTTCTCCAGCACTAGGATGGGGTGGCCTGTTCTCTAGCACTGGGATGTGGGGGTGGCCTCTTCTACCTCATCACATACCATGCAGGATTAGCAGCACTGTTTTAGGGTGGCCGCTGATCCCTCATTGTACGTGATGACTGTAGTGAGAGGGACAGCGACAAGACCATCAGAAACTGGAAAGAAGAGTAGTTTCCGGGGATCCGTCTTTACAACTACAAATGGCAGAGAGGAAGACTGTAGGACAATGGATTAAAGCTGAGCTCCAGCCTTATCTTCAGTCTTTCAGAGTGATGTGGTACTGATATTGCTTCCTTTCCATCCATAGCAAAATGTAAGCTTCTTACAGTGCACATAAGGCTGTAGAAAATAAGTTCCTTCTCATTTCACTATCTGGAGGATGTCCATAATCATCCAGCCTTTTCCTTGTTCTCCACTGTCTCTAGCCTCCCTTTCATTTACTGGATTTCAGTTTTTTCAATTATGTAGGTTTAGCATCACATATAGGTGTTACCTAAAGTATTCTACATTGAAATCCAGTCTGGCTAAGAAGGCCTACTCCTCCAGACTGATGTCAACTCATCATAGCATTTGCTTGCATGTTCTGGAGGATTAGGGCACTTGAGTGAAGTAATGAGGCAGGATGGTATCCCTGCCAGTCCCTGCCATGATCATGATCTACTGCATTGCAGAGAAGCATGCACATAATTCAATTGAAAGTAAGGAATGTAATGAAAACAGAAAGGCTTTTTTTAAAATGCCATTAGTTGATAAGAGGGAAGGTAGGAATTAGAGATGAGCGAATTATTCAAAAATTCGATTCGGCTGATTCGCCGAATTTGCGGAAGAAAGTATTTTTGATGCGAATTTATTCGCTGCGAATTTAACTTACAAATGGCAGGAGGAAGACTGTAGGACAATGGATTAAAGCTGAGCTCCAGCCTTATCTTCAGTCTTTTCAGAGTGCATACAGACCTTCCTCTCTGCTGGGGAAGGTACTGTCATATGACATGCAGATGAGTGCCGTCGATCTTCCAGAATCACCGCACAATTCACTCATTTGGGCAGTCACGGGGCACGACAAAGAAGAAGAATGCACAGAAGAGGAAGAATGAAAAGAAGAAGAAGAAGAATGAAAAGAAGAATGAAAAGACGAATGAAAAGAAGAAGAAGAAGAATGAAAAGAAGAATGAAAAGAAGAAGAAGAAGAATGAAAAGAAGTAGAAGAAGAATGAAAAGAAGAATGAAAAGAAGAAGAAGAAGAAGAATGAAAAGAAGAAGAAGAAGAATGAAAAGAAGAATGAGAAGAAGAATGAAAAGAAGAATGAAAAGAAGAATGAGAAGAATGAAAAGAAGAAGAATGAAAAGAAGAATGAGAAGAAGAATGAACAGAAGAATGAAAAGAAGAATGAGAAGAATTCATTTACTGGATGAAAAGAAGAATGAAAAGAAGAAGAAGAAGAATTTGAAAAGAAGAATGAGAAGAAGAATGAAAAGAAGAATGAAAAGAAGAATGAGAAGAATGAAAAGAAGAATGAAAAAAGAAGAAGAAGAAGAATCAAGAAGAAGAATGAAAAAGAAGAATGAAAGAAGAAGAAGAAAAGAAGAATTGAAAAGAAGAAGAAGAATTGAAAAGAAGAATGAGAAGAAGAAGAATGAAAAGAAGAATAAGAAGAAGAATGAAAAGAAGAAGAAGAAGAATGAAAAGAAGAAGAAGAAGAATGAAAAGAAGAATGAAAAGAAGAAGAAGAATGAAAAGAAGAAGAATGAAAAGAAGAATGAGAAGAAGAATGAGAAGAATGAAAAGAAGAATGAAAAGAAGAAGAAGAAGAATGGAAAGAAAAGAAGAAGAAGAAGAAGAATGAAAAGAGAATGAAGAAATGAAGGAATGAAAAGAAGAAGAAGAATGAAAAGAAGAATGAAAAGAAGAAGAAGAAGAATGAAAAGAAGAAGAAGAAGAAAGAAAAGAAGAAGAAGAATGAAAAGAAGAAGAAGAATGAAAAAGAAGAAGAATTCCAGTACAGCAAAAAGTGTATCTGCAGAGAGCTCCGCTATTTCTGACAGTTCTCTGACAGTTCCTTCACATTTACAGCGGTTGAAACATTGTATCTATTGTTTCCGAATAAAAACATCTGTATCCTAAATGGAAACAAATAGATACAATGTTTCAACCGCTGTAAATGTGAAGAACTGTCAGAGAAACTGTCAGAAATAGCGGAGCTCTCTGCAGGGACACTTTTTGCCGGCTGATCGGGGAAAATTCGATTCGTGCATCCGAAGTTTGCTAAAATTCGGATTCGGTGCGAATCGAATTTTTCCTAATATTCGAAACGAATTCCACTTCGCCAAGTTCGATTCGCTCATCTCTAGTAGGAATGTAGAAGTGAAATAAACTTTTAAGGTAAAAATTACTCTATTTAGGCTTTTCCTCTAGAAAAATGAGAAATATATTATTTATCGGCTGAAGGTAGGGACAGTTTCAACTATTTTATGACTTTCCAAATAAGGTTTTACCAATGAAAACCATGAAGCTAACAGTAACTTAATTAGTGATGAATGGCAGCAAAGCCTACATAGCAAAAAACATGAACAATAAATTATTTTGCTGGGGAGATAATGGAGGTAAGCATTAAAAGATAGTTGATGTCTGTCCCTTGAAATTCCACAGTTATTACATAACAGTTCTAAAGATGAGCAAATAAAGCATTCACAATACAGACCAGTGACCTACAGGAGATCATACCATTGGTCAATGATGTCTGCCAACTTATCATTGTTTAAACATACCATGGAAATTTACTATTTAAATACAGTTATCCTAGCATTAGGTAACTACAGATGCTCAAAGGAAGGGTCTAACGTCTGTATTCCACAGAAAGTAGTCGGTATTTGCCTATTTTTATCTCCTTTTCGTAGAAAATGTACAGTCAAGTTTCCATCAAGAAGGTGTCCTCTGTTAAAGCAGGCTCTGCCCAGGGCACCAGCATTGGTGGAATAAGTTACAGAAAAGTATCGGCAGGTGGGTATGCCTCAAGTGTTTATGCTGGAGCAGGAGGTCTGGGCACCAGAATTTCCGCTACTTCAAAAAACACAGTAACTGCCGGGGGTAGTTCACAGCTCAGAAGCCAAGAAATGAGAATTTTTGGGAATGAGAAGGAGACCATGAAGAATCTGAATGACCGACTGGCTTCCTACATAGATAAAGTGCACTCTTTGGAAAAGTCTAATGCTCACCTAGAGGAACAAATCAGGGAATGGTATAGCAAGAATACTGGGAACTTGGAAAGAAATGATGAACATCATCATTTTCAGATTATAAAGGAACTGAGACATCAGGTAAGTCATCTTTATTTTAACAGTATTGAATTATAATGCTAATGTATGATGAAAGTCAGAAATATTACTTGATGGACTACACAATATACACTCACCGGCCACTTTATTAGGTACATCTTGCTAGTGCCAAGAAAATACCTCCACACGATTACACCACCACCACCAGCAGCCTGCATTGTTGATACAAGAGATTGTATTCTGCATACCTTGGTTGTACCGAGTTAATTTTTGAGCTATCTGCCTTTCTGCCATTTCAAACCTCTGCACATTCTCCTCTGACCTCTGACATCAACAAGGAATTTTTGTCCACACAACTGCCGCTCAATGGATCTTTTCTCTTTTCTGACCATTCTCTGTAAACCCTAGAGATGGTTGTGTGTGAAAATCACAGTAGATCAGCAGTTTTTGAAATACTCAGACCAGCCCATCTGGCAGCAATAACCATGCCACGTTCAAAGTCACTTAAATTCCCTTTCTTCCTTATTCTGATGCTCGTTATGAACTTCAGCAAGTTGTCTTCACCATATCTAGATGCCTAAATGCATTCAGTTTCTACCATGTGATTGGCTGATTAGCAATTTGTGTTACCAAGCAATTGAACAGTATACCTAATAAAGTGGTCGTTGAGTTATATGGGACAGCAGTGTTTTTTAGATGTTGAAACACAAATGTTGGTGTGCTCTTGTTCCATGACCCCCAAAGGTGTGGCTATCCAAATGAACAAACGAAACCAGCGCTCAAATCTTCATGCTGCCTAAGATAACTGAAACTGTCATTCGTAGAGGTGCAGCCCTTAAAGATCGGGAAATCTTTGATACTGGTGAACAAAAGCAAAACAGGGCACACTCTCTTTGTGCATTAACGTAGTAAACCAAGAATTTATTATAAAGCATAAAAATGCATACTCACAAACAGGGGCAGACTGACCATTTGGAAATTTGGGCACTGCCCGAGGGCTCGGGGTCGTAGGGAGCCCCATGAGATGCCCCTGGTACCTTTTTCATAGGCTTTTTTGAGTTTGGGCAAGGGCACAGGGGCCCCATGATCCCCTATTGCCCGGGGGGGTCAGTAGGGGACCCCATGAGATGCCCCTGTTACCTTTTTCATAGGCTTTTTTGAGTTTGGGCAAGGACACAGGGGCCCCATGATCCCCTATTGCCCGGGGGACCCCATGATTTGTCAGTCCACCCCTGCTCACAAACCAAAGGGGGATAAAAACAGACAAGAAGAGTTCATAATAACAGTTCCAAAGTGACGATAGACCCTTAGTAAGGTAAGCTAACACGTTTCGGGAGACAAACTCCCTTCATCAGAGCTAAAACACTCTGGCTGATGAATCTCAAAGAAAGACATTTTGGGTGAAACTATTTTATGGGCCTTGTCTGGCATCATTATCCATAGATTTTGTGATGTGAACACTCTTGATATGATATCTACTAAACTAATAATTTATAGTTGCTGAAGCAATGAATAATACTTTGTATAATAATGATACCTGCTGAAAGAGCTGCACAGAGGCAATTAGATTCACTTAGAGCTCAACTTCCCTCCCAACAAATCATACCCGTGTGGCTTTATGTATCACCAGAAAGATGAGGTAAAACTATTTTTTGTTTTCAAACTATTTGTAGAAAAATTAAAAGAAAAGCACAAAACATTG